CCAGAAAATTGTCAGATACAGTCCTGGAAGATGAGCCCTTCAGGTTGGAAGGCACTCAAAATGTGACTGAGGAACAGCTGCCTCTTCAAAGTAGAGTTGACCATGATGATGTGAATGGAATAAAGCCCTCAGGCCCTTCATTTACTGATGGGGCACAACTCAAATTGAGTAGAAACCGCTGTAAAGATCCATTAATAAACTCATGGAGGTAATAACTCTACCAACAGAGAGGGAAGGAGTCTTCCTATCAAGTATCAATGCTATCCCCTCTGTAGACAGGGTACAGAAGGATGGGCAACTTAGACATTGGCTACCTAAAATGAGGGGGCAATAAAGGCACAAAGTGACTGGCTTAGAAGATTTCAAGAGAGAGTTTAATTTAAGAGTGTGTGGGGGAAGAAAGTGTCCCCACTGAATAGTTTTCACCTTGTCTAGATAGGTTTGGTTAAAAGAGATGGGGATATGATTCTTATGATTCAATAGTGAGTAATTGTTATCATGACTAAATGCGACTGTCACAATTATAAAGGTAGAAATTTTGTAATAAAAATGGTGGAGCAGTTACTCTTACAGTCCAGAAACAGAGGACCCTAGAACATCAAGGAAGAAGAGCACAAGCTGAATTTGCGACCTTATCCAGAGAAACAGTAACACCAGAGATAGAGGAAGTGATGGGGACATGGAGAGGGGGAGTGGCTGAGGACTCTAGATTCATGGGAAGAGAGGGACTAAGAGATGATGGCCATGAGGCAGACTTGCAGAATGTGCCCTTTGGTGAGCAAAGTTTTAATAAAGATAATAAAAAAAGGCCGCAACCATACACTGACAGAGAACTTTCAGAGGTTCAAGCTAGATTCAGAAGGGGAGATGGAATGATGGATATCACTGCTGACATTAGATGAAAGCAGAGAATACCAGACAGATGTTTACTTGTGTTTTATTGATTATGCAAAGGCTTTTGATTGTGTGGATCATAGCAAGCTATGGATAACACTGCGAAATAAGAGTATTCAGCAGTTTGAAACTACCAGCTGTTCCGCAGGAGAAAGATGAGGTTTTCTGCTCCCATAAAGATTTACAGCCTCGGAAACCCTATACAGGGTCGCTATGGGTCGGCACCAACTCCACACCACTCCACCACCACCACCGCTCACTTATCGACATGGTTACGCTCCAAACGCCAGGTTATTGTTGAAAATTAAGGCTATATGAAACTTCAGCGACCAAATTCTTTTCAGGCACTTTCAAGGAGGCCAAGGACTCCTGGTGTGGCGCTGCAGGGTAAGCACTGGACTGCTAACCACTAGTCGCTCCTCAGAAACAGACTCAATGGCACTTGACAATAACAGTAGGTTTGTTCCCATACTGGCAGCTCCTGTCCTGAGCTTGCTTGTCTCCCAGCTGTGACTGCCATACTTTGGGCAGGCAGGTGGCTTGTGTCATTTCAAAGCACAGGAATTGCTGACTGGATCAGGACGTGCAGCCAGAAGGTGACCCACACTACTCTGACCCATGCAGAATTCCTACATTACTCACATACTCAGGACTGCTGCCTGCTGGACCTAGCACCCCAAAGATGCAAACAGTGGGTCTTGGTCAGCTGCAAAGTGACTGCTATGTGTCATGTCTGCATGCCTGTGGAACCTTCTCACAAACTCACAGCTTCATGTAAGTCCTGCTTGGATTGTGGGGCAGTCACCAGCTTGTGAGCTGCTAGGGATTTGTTTTGCCTGTGGAGCACCTGTTCAAATGTACAAATTTTTCTTGGTCTTCTTTCCTCTTTTAACTTCATTTGCACCCAAGACTGAGGAGAAGAATGGAATGGGAGGGATAAAGGGCTCAGGAGGGAGGTTCTTTCTCACTGAAAAAAAACTTACCTGGATTTAGGGTGACTTAAGTGTGGCACAGTAGGATAAGCACCAGATAAATAATCACAAGGTCGGTGGTTCAAATCTACCAGACTCTCCTCGGAAACCCTACACAAGATCGCTATGAGTCAAAGCTGACTCAATGACACTTAATAACAACAACAAAGAAAATATTTTAGTGCTGTAAATGCAAAAAAGTTAGATAAAGAGATAGTCAATAAACGTGGAGTAGATGTTCTATAAATATCTCCCCTTAGAGCATCGTTGTTGTGAAGTGCCATCGAGTCAGTTCTGACCCATAGAGACCCTGTATAGGGTTTCCTAGGAGCAGCTGGTGAGCTTGAACTGCCTACCTTGCAGTTCAAATGGCTTTGCAGTCAGGTGCATTAACCCACAGCGCCATACCAGGACTCCCTTAGAGCATTAATCACACTTTATTACTATATATTTTATGTGAGTTAGCATCCTGGTGTGGCACTGTAGGATAAGCACTGCACTGCTAACCATAAGGCTGTAGGTTCAAACCAACCAGGTGCTTCTCAGAACCAACTTGGCACTTAACAACAAAATATGTATGTTTGCATGACATTACATAATATATGAATTAGCTATATAGTTTCATATACATGTGTGTGACAACACACATACATGTCTCCGTTCAAGACAGTGAGCCCCTTGAGGACAGAAACCATGTTTTATTTCTCTCTCTGATGTAGTTCTTTCTATGGTATGTGCGATGTAAATAAAGTGTTGCTGAATAAATAAAGGCTGAATTTTCTCAAGGCTAGTAGTAAAATCCTTTTTGTATTTCATGGATTACTTCTCTAGAGATAAAAGTGGTTTAAATGTACTAACCAAATAATGTGCTATGAATTATGTAGAAAGAAGTTATCCTTACTTCAATCCTCCATGAAGGAAAAGTGAAGAAGAGAATTTGTTATTTACTCAGTGTTTCACATTAAGCTAGGGAGAAAGGAGCTGTAGACACAGAATCTCATGAATGACAATTTCGTGCTCTCTTCATTAGTTTATGTGGTTCACTTGAGTGTTTCATATTCTCCGTATGTAATGAAGTTTCTTTGGCACAGAATCTTCTATACTGAGAAGGAATATACATTCCATGTAGTCAAGGCATTGGCCTGGGTTTTTCCTTTCTTTCATGCAATGCCCAACAGCATCATTCTGCCCTCACCTTTCCAGGTCTGACAAGGGGCTCTATGCATTAGTGATTGTTAAGAAAGCATGAGGGCTGCCCAGCTTGTAGGCAGTGTGTAAGCAAAGGACTACATCCTCTGTGTTCCATTTCTTCCTCTGTGAAGAAGAAAAGCATAATATTTAACAACATCTCCAAGCTATTGTGAGGGTTAATTAGATTTAACGGAGGAAAGGAGGTGAGCTGATTAGGCACTATTCAAATTCAAAGTATCATTATTTTGTATCTAAAAATAATCCCGATTTGTAGGTATGAAATTAATTTGGAAGCTCAATCTGTGGCAATCATCTTCCCCTACTTTAAAAAAAGTAATAGTTTTTTCATCAAAATCCCATTTAAACAAAATTCAAGAAGAAAAATGGAGATGGTAAAATTTCATTCATCTCTCAAGTAATGCAGTAGACAGTTCCATTTTTTCCTTGCTTCTCTCTTTTATTTCTTTTCATTTCTTTTTGCAGATACATCATATATCAGCGAGTTTCAGTTGTGGAATGGAATCATGTAAACCAATAAGGATTTGAACATGCATTGATTTATTTTATGGTGAACATGAAAAAATTATTTGTGACTTTGTCTCTGCAAAGAATCAATAATCTATTTTTTTTTTAGCTGAATTAACTACTTAAGGTTATTTCTGATATTACACCTATTCTTAATTTAAGAAGTAAAGTCAGTTGAGAAAGACTTTAGTATTGCTCAAATTAAAAACAAAGGCCCTGGATACTTAAGGCCATCACATCTTTTCATTAATAACATGCTCACACAAACAGCACACTCACACATATACAGCACATAGCATCCATAGGAAACTAATCTGCAAGGGAGTTGCATCATGTGGAGGGGTAAAAAAGAAACATATAACATGAACATTTGTATAAAATACAGTAGTCAGGAAAAGTAGTACCAACAAAATTAGAACCGTTTACTGTGAAACTCTTCAAAAGCATTAGAATTGATATTTGAGAAAAAAACTGAGCTGCTAAATCTCACTAAAAAGCCAATGCTGTTGTTGTTAGGTATCATTGAGTTCGGTTCAATTCATAGTGACCCTGTATAGTGTTTCCATGGATCAGCTGGTAGGTTTGAACCACCAACCTTGTGGTTAGCAGTACAGTGCTTATCCTACATAGACATACCAGAACTCCATATATATTTACATTTATTTATTTATTTATGTATATACTCCGCAAGGCCTGAGGTTCAAACCTACCAGAACTTCCTTGAAAACCCTATATAGGGTCACTATATATATATAGGACTCCTGGTGTGGTGCTGTGGGTTAATGCGCCACACTGCAAAGCCGTTGAACTGCAAGGTCAGCGTTCAAGATCACCAGCTGCTCCTTGGAAACCCTATACAGGGTCGCTATGGGTTGGAATCGAGTTGACGGCACTTACCAACAATACACACACACACACACACACACACATGCTGTTGTTGTTGCTTAAGTGTTGTCAAATTGGTGTCAACTCATAGTGACCCTGTGCAGGGTTTCCAAGGCCTGAAATCTTTGTGGGAGCAGAAAGCCTCATCTTTTTCCCATGGCGTATCTGGTAGGCTTGAACCATCAGTGATGCAATTTGCAGTCAAGTGCTTATCCTACAGAGCCAACACGCTTCCCCTCAAAGCCTATAGTATCTTCAATAAAAGGAACCATATCTAAAAATGCAACAAACAGTTGATAATTCCAGGAGACATTGCTTATCTGTTAAGCGATATCTCGGGAGAAGAATTTTAGCTGGAAAGTGGTTTTAACAGTATTTATTCAGAACTGTCCCAAAGAAAAGTAGAGTGCATATTCCAGTTAAGGAATGTATTCACTATTGAAAACCAAGATTTTTTTTTTTAACTTTTAACACAGTCCTATTAAAAATCCCCCTTTGACTTTCTAAAGCTCAAAACTTCAACTGTACACTCACCAAGCAAACTTCTCATTATTCATTCGATTTCCACGGACCCTTGATACTGGGGACGGATGTACTCTGTAGGCAGAGGAGAGAAAGCCAGTCACTGAAAAAATATTATTCCCAATTGCAAACGAAAAAGCCATCTGATTTAGAAATCTCTTGGATATTCCCTTAATATAAAAATCCCCCTTAACTTGATGACCTCTTTGCTTCTTTATCACTCCTAAGGTACCATGGGTTTTCCACACTGTTCCTCGTGAACACTTCCCGAAACCGGACCACCATTTATTGATTCATTCTTTCTAAAAAATGTATTGAATACTTTGTTTTTGCCAGGTGTAAGGAGTCCTGGTATGGTGTTGTGGGTTAATGCGGCAGACTGCAAAGCTGTTTGAACTGCAAGGTTGGCCGTTTAAGTTCACCAGCTGCTTCTTGGAAACCCTATCCAGGGTCGCTATGGGCCGGAACCGACTCGATGGCACTTAACAACAACAACAAGGATGGTTAGGAGTCCTGGTGTGGCATTGTAGGATAAGCACTAGACCACTAAACGTGATTCAAACCCACCAGGTGCTCTTCTGAAGTCCTACACAGGGTCACTATGAGTCAGGGTTTGAGGGCACTTAACAACAACAAAGGTGGTGAGGAGTCCTGGGGTGGCACTGTGGGAAAAACACTGGACTGCTCCCACTACTTAAGAACAACAAGGGTGGTCATGTAAAGTGTGTTGCTAGCCCTCAACATTCCCTTTCCAGTACTAACTCCCATTGCAGGTGGTGGGCAGCACCATGGAGGCACAAAAGATACAGTCTAAATGCAGACCCAGCCAGCAGCATTGAGATTTAAGACTCTAGGACGTAAGATTCTTCATCTAAAGAATCATGGGGGTGGAAGAGGGAAGAAAGGTGAGCAAGTGAGGGCTTCAAAAAGTTCATGGAAAATCCCATTATATTTTCATTCCATTTCTTCACAAACCTCTTGAAGCCTCCTCATACTTTCAAGCAGAAAGACCTTCAGAAGTGATTCTCTAAAGCTGAGCTTTGAGAAGGGTGAAGGTAATTCAGAACTTCAACCAGATCACTGAAAAGTGAAGAATGTATGGTTTTATAAGCGTCCAAGGTTGGAATCATCTATTGGTAATAGTTTAAGGCTTCTAGTTGCTGCTGTGGTCTTCCACTCATAGGCTGAACCTCTGTGGTTGCTGCCTGGCAAAACAATACGTCCACTTCTTATGTCCTTACAGCCAACTCTCTACTTTGGTCTAGCTTAGTAGGATTTACAAGGAGCCCTGGGACCACTGTAGGATCAGCACTGGATGACTAACCGCAAGGTACGCAGTTCAAACCCACCAGCCACTCCTTGGAAGAAAGATGAGGTTTTCTGCTCCTATAAAGATTTATGCTCTTTATAAAGAAACTCTATGCTGTTATGTGCTGTTGAGTTGCTGTTGTGTGTACAAGGTTCCTGAGGAGCGGCTGGTGAGTCTGAACTGCTAACCTCCCTGTTAGCAGTCCAGTACTTATGCTACAGTGCAATACCAGGACTCCAGAAACCATATTTGTTTGTTCAGTGCCTTCAAGTTGATTCCAACTCATACTGATCCTGTATAGGTTTTCCCCAGACCTCTACACAGGGTCACAATGAGTTGGAATTGACTTGATGGCAGTAGAGCTTGGTGAGGCGGCTCCTGGTATGGTGCTGTAGGCTAATGCCCTGGACTGCAAGGTCAGTTTGAACCACAAGATCGGCGATTTAAGCTCATCAGTTGCTCCTCGGAAACCAAACAGGGTCACTCTGAGTCGGAACCGACTTGACGGTATTTAACAGCAAGGCAGTCTTCTAGCTTGCTATCTTTGCTCTTTATGCCTTGCCTTGTTGTTGTTGTTATGTGCCGTGGAGTCGGTTCCGACTCATAGCGACCCTGTACAGGGTTTCCAAGGCTGTAAATCTTTCTGGGAGCAGAAAGCCTCATCTTTCTCCCGTGGAACAGCTGGTAGTTTCGAACTGCTGACCTTGTGGCTCACAGTACGATTCGTAACCACTACGCTACCAGAGCTCCTTAGACATTACCTTCACAAGAAAGAAAAGGATATAAAAGTGGGCTCCAAGTTTTATTAAAACCTCAGTCCTCAATAATCATTTAGCAAGTGGTAATCATTTCAAAACTGATAACACTGTTCCAGCTCCTCAGAAAGGCCAACGTTCGCTGTTCTGTGAATTCAGAGCCAGAGTCCATTTTGCACTCGGAAGACTTATTTTTTCCAACATCCCTTATTAACATTCTTTTCCTCATAGCACTTGTCAATGGCTGCTGCAGCTGAGCCCCTCAGCACAGATTTTTCTGCTCTGCATGGGGGAGGGGGTGTTAATTATGCAGAAAGATGGAGAGAGGCCAGACAGCCTCTCTGGTGAACTGTCTCATTCAAGCACAGCCCACTTCCTGCTGTTCTGCAGCTACAAGGATCACCTGTTGGTCTTGGCATCAGGCCAAGCTGGGGCCTAGCGGAAATGACAGACTCAGCTAGAAATGAAAGCCGGCTCATATTCCAGTATCCCAAATTGGGAGGAGAAGGGGGGTATGAGAGAAAAAAAATCTGCAATAGAAAATTGTATGAGTTATGCAAAAGGTTGTCAGACTTGTTGCTCTCTTATTTCTTTTCTCCTTTCTGTCTGTGTGCTAGAAATATAATCTTCACACTAGACATCTGAGCCAAAACTATTTCTTCCCCTGACCTGCAGAAAGTGCAGAAAATCCTTTTGCCCCTTCTCTACAGGCCCTCTGGGGTGTCAGGGTCCTACTTCCTAAAAAACAACAATAACAAAAAAAGGTTTTAAGGATTAACTAGCTTCAAATACTCACATTTCTTCTTTAATTCCCTCTACATCCTTTGAGTGTGTAGCTCTTTCATTGCCCCCTCCTTAGCTGTGAAGTACAATGAAGCTGTGTTTCTGCTCATCAAGAAATCTCCACTAGGAGGAGTTTGGAGATAGAAGTCTTCTATTGACAGTTTACAAACTAGTCAGTGGAGGAAAATGGGCCTGTTTAATCCATAATTACCACATTCACCAGATATTTGCATCTTTTAGCAAAATTTCAATGGCCCATGCATCAAATGTTATAAGTGGATAATTTCTATAATAGTTTGCTGTTGTGTGCCGCCAAATTGGGTCCAAACTCATATAGGGATTCGGAGAGCGGTTGGTGGATGTAAACTGCCAACGCTGTGGTTTATTAGTCTTCAATGAATTACTGAGTAATATTGTATTACTGAATCAATCTAATGTTTTGTAATTAAAAATAAAAAATCCCCCTACCCCTCTGCACCAAAGTGAGTAACATGGAGCTTTTGCCCACTGGATAACATTTGTTGTTGCTGTAGGTTAAATGTCTTGAAGTCGATTTGGCCTCATAAAGACCCTTATAAGGTTAGCAAAGAGTGAAGTGATTGGTGGGTCTGAACCACTAATCATGAGGTCAGCAGTCCAGTGCCTATCCAATAGCACCACACCAGGACTCCTTTGATATGGTAGACCATAATTAATTGGTTTGCATTCCAGCCACTGAAAAACCTTTACTTCTTCAAAAAGATAATGCATTGCTTAGGGAGCTCAGTCTCTAAACTGTGACCCTCTTTGTCATCACCTACCACCATCTTTCCACATATAGCTTCCTGTGTCTTTTGCAGCCAGGCAGGTAGAAAAGTCAAACCCCAGTAGGAGAAACTACCGCCTCATCTGCATGTCATACATTATTCATGACCTCCTGATTCCTGCACCTGCATCTAGGCAGGAAGCTTGCAGGGAATGTTCATTATTCTTCTCTTAGCTTCACACAGGCTCCATTACTGTTAAGCCACTTTGTTCTGTAACTAAGGGTTTCAGGGTTAGTACTAACCGCTGGATATGGAAAGAAAAAAAAAAAAAAAAAACTAGCTGAAGAAAAGGACAATCTTGGTTGTTGTGAAATATGTACTGAATCCTACAATATGTTCTTCTGAGACTGACAGTTTATGTCTGATGGAAATGCTCACATTTGATCATTTACATTACATAGAAAAAAAGACGCTATATCATTAAGGCCATGTATACCAACTGTTCTATTTTTATCCATTTAGTCATCTGAATCAGACAGCGTGTTTATAATTTTACCCAATGCGGCACTTAATTTAGCTTTCTTGCTAAGCATGTGAGAACATTTTAGACATAGTAATTCAAAAACTCTGCCTCCTCTGGGTACAAGCACCCAAGGCCCTGACCTTCAAACCTTGTATTGAAATGATGAACATTATAACTAATCATGAGAATATGATCACTCTGTTTTCCAGAACCAAACTGAAACTCTTTACTGGCTGCTGGCTGGAGGGGGGATGTGAAGTCCAGGCATCCAACCCACATTACCAGCACTAATGAATTCCAAGGCAAGGAGACTGGTCACACTTTTTTTCATTAACTGCACCACAGAAAAGGTGTGCTCATTTAAATCCAATTTCACAGCCTCAACAGGAACTTGGATGAAGAGGTTTAGAGGCAAACTGTGTAGCCAGTCTGCCTGGGATTGAATGCCAGTTTCAACAATTTTGGGGCAAATTATTTAATCTCTTTGTACTTAAGTTTCTTCATCTGTACAAATGGCTGCAATACCATTACCTACCTCTTAGTGTTGTGAGATTTAAATTACTTAATAGTTGTAGTGCTTGTACACAGGAAGCACTTAATACATGTTAGTTTGATATCAGATGCTGTAATGACAAGAATACAGAGCATGGGGACTGAGGTTACAAATGTGTTCTATAGTGCTTATACAGCGGGAGAAAGATGAGGCTTTCTGCTCCCATAAAGATTTACAGCCTC